GTGGACGTCCATCATCTAACGGGATAGCCAGCGGTCCCCTTCCCGTTCCGGTGGACGTCCATCATCTAACAGGATAGCCAGCGGTCCCGTTCCCATTCCCGGTGGACTTCCCTCTAATGGGATAGCCAGTGTTTTCAGAGCCCAGTGGGAGCCACACAGTGCCATAGCAGCTAGACTGCATCTCTGCCAGAATCTTCTCTTTTTCTCTTTCCCTGTGCAGGTTGAAGCGTCTGCTCTTTTTTCTCTTTCTCCTCTTCATTGTTAGTGTGTAAGAGCAAATTGCCATTCCACACATTTTCAAGTCCAAGTATGTTCTGCCTCTCTTCCTTCAATCGGTTGTCTTCTTTTAAAACGTTCTGCACTGACTCAGCTCCATGCCTGCTGTGGTCTTCCGTCTCCTTTCTCTGCTGCTCCTGTTCCCCAGAGGTTTATTATTCTTCAAGGACAGTTCCAAAGGCTTCCGTTCCCCCAGGTTTGCCCAGTGTATCCACAAAAGCACTCAGTACTTGCTCTCAGGTCCTAAGCTGTTTGTGGTGTAGGGCCCTGGTACAGTAGTTAATATGCTACAATCACAGGGGTTTCTATATAACAAAACACTTTCATTTTAATATCACATAAAATATGTAAGATAACTTAAGATGGTAAAGAGAGAAGAGGGTTTCAGAATATAGTGTTTTTAAAAGTATGGAAATGAAATATTAGTGAGAAATCACAGCCATCCTGGTAACATAAGAACCAGGAAAAGAAGCGCCTGTAAGAATTTTTTAAGTGCATTTAAAAAAAATGCTCTTAAAAGGAGAGATGGAATGGCTCATAGGTTAAGAACACTGACTGCTCCTCCAGAGGTCCTGAGTTCAAGTCACAACAACCACATGGTGGCTCACAACCATCTGTAATGAGATCTGGTGCCCTCTTCTGGCCTGCAGGCATATGTGTGCATATGTGTAGACAGAGCACTGTATACATAATAAATTAATCTTAAAAAGAAAAAAGCTATGTGGCTGTGGTAACGCATGCCTATAATGCAAGCACTAGGAAGCAGAGAGGATGGTCAGGAATTTGGGCCAGCCTGGGCTGGATGGTGTGGCCCTGTTTCAAAGAAAAAATACACAATAAGATGGAAAGAAGGTACACAATAAAGGCAATGTTGAGAACAACCAGATTAATCAAAATGTGATAAAAATATATATGAACAGAAAGGCAGTGAACATATGAGACAGAGCATTTTGTAGTGCCAATAGTTTATTCCAGTGCCGTAATAAGCCAGTGTCAGGACCAGAGCTCAACCACGATTCCCCGTTCTTCTAATTGCACTGTAATGTAGAGCAAGGCAGGACTTAGTGGAGAGAGTTCAAAGTTCAAAGTTATGTTGATGGAGGTCAGGAAAACACTGTTTGGGATTTGTGGGCTCCCGATCAATGGGGAGGGAAGAAGATCGTATCTAACTAAATTTCCAGGTGGGATTAGTGAAGCGAGTGAGTGAGGTGATTAGAAGAAAAGGAGTGTGAACAGCAGGATGTTGGGAAGTGTGTGTTTGTACAGAGAGTGAATGACTTCGCTTGACTGACAGCAGAAAGGGCAAGAGTGGGAACAAACAGTGAAAACATTCCGTAGAACTTTTCTGGGAAGAATGTTAAAGACAATCTTCAAAGATTACTCTAGTGACTCTGAGTAATAAGAGTTTATGCCATAGTTTAAGAGAAGACACAAAAGTTAAACTGGAATGGCAGTAGTCAGACATCTACAAGATGCGCTGAAGAAGAGGAGGAAAGGCCAAGTGGTTTGGGTGAAGAAGAGAGGGTGACTCTGAGGATGGAGACAATACAGACACAGCAGGAAACACTCCATATTAAAATACGGCGTGAGCTATACACATGTATCTGGGGATTAAACATGCCCAAAATGCTGCCTGAAGGACTTGCTGCTCTTCTAGAGGACCTGGATTAAACATGCCGAAATTCTGCCTGGAGGACTTGCTGCTTTTCTAGAGGACCTGGATTAAACATGCCCCAAATGCTGCCTGGAGGACTTGCTGCTCTTCTAGAGGACCTGAGTTTTGTTTCTAACACCCACTTGGAACAGCTCACAAATGACTGTAATGCTAGCTTGGGGGTACTTGACACCTTCTCCTGACCTCACTAAGGACACGGACACGGACACACACACACACACACACACACACACACACACACACACACATATAAGTAAAAACAAAATAAATATTTAAAAATCCAGCATTTCAAAGGAAGTCAGACTAAAATTTGTGAGAGTTACACAAGAAATACTATGTGTATGAAAGTAGTGTGCCCAAGGATAACAACATGGGAGCAAAGAGACCGAGGAGGTTCAGCTGCAAACAAATTGCATGTCTGTGCGCGGAGACTGACAGGAGAGAGAGACAGAGAAATGGGTGTAAAGGAAGAAGGACTGGCAGTCTGGGACTATTCTGTCAAAAGCCTTAAACTTTAGTGGCATTTGAAAGAAAGGTTGCAGTTGACAGTGAGTAAACCATGGCAGGAGAGAATGAGCTGGCCTTGAGAGAACAGTTCTATTCAAGCCCTGCTACCATTCTGTCAGGTGAGGGGACATCCGAAGAGCTGGGCAGTCTCAGGCTAGAAGGGCAATGGGGGTTTTGAGGAACTGGTGGACAAAAGCAGTGAAGGGTAGGGTAGGATTGTGGGTAAGAATAAATGTGTTGTCGCTGGAAAGGAGAGAGGAATGAAATGCCGTAGCTCTGAAAAGCCAAGAAGAATTTGGTCAGCAGAGCACAGTCCCAGTGTAGAAAGAAAATATGCGGTGGGAATGAGTCCCATCCCTCCGTCTCTGACGAGTGTGAGGCAGCGACATTGAGCAGAACAGACTTAATGTGATAGAGAGGAGACACTTAGAAAGTACTCAAAGTGACTGCAAAGGGATGGCAAGGACTAACTAATCAATGGACAATTTTCCAACATTTAATACAATGACTTCTGCTGCCATATTTCTAGGAATTAGAATTTTCAGTTTCTTTGCATGTTGAGGTCCATATGAATTTTGTATATATTGTTTTCAAACTTTTGCCACAAGGAATTTCTTGTTAATTGATATTTAAATATTTACATTACTAAATTTGGCAACTTCCAGAAATTCAGCGGGGTAAAATTAAAGTCAACTGACATTTTATAAAGCCATCAATGCAATGTGGAGACTTTTGGTTTTTATTTATGTTTCTATGATTTGACTGGCATGTATTATAATAAGATATATGCTTAGTGTATCAAATAAAGATCAATGTATAGTTCAGCATCAAGGCTCCTTGCCATGGATTTCTGCGATGTGTTGACAACTGGCTTTTACCCCATCTGCAAATGTATTATCTCTATAACTGTATACTTCTATGATAGTATGAGAGCAAGTAAAAGACTATGCCTTTCTTATTTCCTTTTTCATCAGTGGCTTCTGTGTCCTTTTATAGTTGTGTGTCTGATAGAGACTGTTAATACCAACTGTAGACAGTTGAAAGCAAAGCAGGAGAAGAAATGGGAAGCTTTAGAAACATTCCAAACATTTCCTCTTTTTGTGTTATGCTTGCTGTTCCCCGGCCATGCTTGGTCCTGCATGTTGCAAACAGCCAGCGCAACTCATCTTTGTGTGATGTTCATAAGTGCCTGTGTATTTCACCTTTGTGTGATGTTCATAAGTGCCTGTGTATTTCACCATGTTTTTCAGAATCCTCAGTCAGTAGCAGCTCTCCAGGGTCCGGTCCCAGTTCGCCAAACAATGGGCCCACTGGAAGTGTTACCGAAAATGAGGCTTCAGGTTTGCCTCCCACACCTCACCCTGAGGTAAGCACCCTCCCCCCCTTCATCTACTTCTGGAAACTGATACAGAGTGGTCCCTGAGTCCAGGCCTCCTCACTTTCAGACATGATAGATCTATAAACAGAGCCCAAGTATTTCCTGTTGTGAAATAAAACTAGGTATCTTTCTTACTGTGTGGATCACTTACATTGATTATAGTTTTATGTGTGGATTTGAATGAACTTGATTATATTTATAGATGTTTTGATGACCACCCATGTTGGGAAAATACTGAAATGCAAGCCAATGTTCCTACCTCCTCAGCTGTGCTCAGTCTGTACTGCTCAAGGATGTAAAGATCTGTAATCCTGCATGGGTACTGGTTTCTCTAATAGGAGTACACCCATAAATAAGCAAACCAAGCCCATGTAAGCCTTTCACACTAACTACTACCAAGGTGGGTTTCGTTCATTTGACCTGAAGTATAATAGCAAACAACTGATGTCTGTATTATGACTGAGAGAGCTGGAGATTCACTGAGCAAACATTTATTTAGTATTGACTATGTGATTGTATTTTACCTAAGGATATGCATATCAAGATGAATAAAAATGGGAACTCCATTACTGAAACTGACATAGTTTTGAAGATTGCTTTAAAATATTATCATTTGTTGTGGTCAGTGACAGGATGCTAAGAAGAAAGTGATTGTCAACAAGAGTCAGTGTGCCTTCTGCATTAGACTGTGCCGAGGTAGCAGTCTGAATATCCATGTTAATGGAACTCTTTTGAACAGACTGACCATAGACTGAAGGCATAATTTTTTCCTTCTATGCACCATGCTACCTCTTTCCTACACATCCTCTGTGCAGACAGAGTTGCTGTGATTCCTTCTCACACCTGTTACTTGAGTGTCCCTTCGTATTTTACAGTCTTAGTATTTGAGATTCGGAGACAGTGATCAAATCTGTCAGTCTCTGCGTTACAGCTGCAGTGTTCCTGCCATTGGGTCATCCACACTGTACCGAACACTCCTGCTGCAGGGGAGTCACTGCACTGTCTCTTGACAGAACCCAACAATTTCAAACGTCACCCTCACTGACAGAATGTCCTCCAGTCAAGAGTTCCATTACTCTACGATCTCATACATTTCACAAACACATATGTACACACACACGAACCACTAGACTTTATGAAGTCATTAGGTGAAAGTTAAAAAAACATAGTGGAAATGGAGGATGTCTCTGATAGGCCCAGGGAGTCACTTTTGTTTAAGGCCTGACAGACTTCTCACGACCTTTGGTTTCACATAAACTCGTAAAGCTCAAGAGAGAAGAGAAGCCCAGTGCTGGGTGAGGATATGCTAAGCACAGAGTCTCACGGCTAAACGCAGGGATTGCCAGGGCCTGTGTGGAAGATCACCTCACCCCAACAGTAGCACATCCTCTGTCTAAGAAGGGTCCTCATGAGCTAGTCTGTGAGGGGGTACAGCAGAAATCACAGCCGCACACTGCCTTTTGACTTCCGGTGCCTCCAGATGTGCGGACCCAGGTGCCTGACAGAGCAGATGTGACTCTTCCTCAGATTAGAACATGGTCTTCTAAAACTTCTACTGTTTGCCAGAGAGCATGAGGAAAAAAGATAAAGGCCCTCACTCATGAGCATCCCAGGTACCTGAAGGCTAGCCTCAATTCAGACCTTTACACTAATCTCTAAGGCTTCCATACGTTTCCTGTGTCTTACTATCTCGTCACTCTCTACCTCTTTTTCATTATACTTTCCAAAATAAAATGATGCGAGATAGGATATTCTATGAATACTGTGATCACACATGTAAGTAGGACTTTCAGGTGTTTAGGTTACATCCTCATGTTGAGTGATTTTTTTTCTATAACCCTTTAATTATTTACAAGAGAAGAGCAAATGCGTCACAAATAGTAAGTAAATAAGTAAGTTTTATATTTCCACTTTCATTTGAATAATGTTATTCTCGGTAACCACATAAATATGTAAGGGTTAGGTTCTGATCATTCCTAGGGCTGTTTGTACCCTTGAAAAATGACAGCACATGACACCACATTCAGCAGCGTTGATAATTCCCAGAGATGTGGCCTCAGTGCCTCGCCTTTGGCTCATTAGCATCATGCTTGCATTTTATTAGATGCAGAAAGAGTTGTAATATTTGTCTGAGCGTGTTTAGTAAAGGGTTGTAGAAGAGCGAGGACAAGCTGTGGGATTTGATTACAGTTCAGAGGGAGGACAAAGAAACTGTGGTTTGAGAGGTACCAGAGAAGACATCCTTAGCTTTTCTTGTAAATGCATCTATTCACTACTCTGTTCAAACAGAATAAAAACCAAGAAGAAATATTAGTAAAAACAAAATGGAGGAATGGAAGGTTTTTCTCTTCTGGCTATTTGGAACCTACTGAATTTTCTAGATTGCCTAGCCTGAGTTCTAAACATGTAGCTATATATGTGTGGAGCTGTATACTACTTGCACAGAGACAGAGAATGGAGAGTGCGAATTAAGGCATTTTACTTATTTTAATCCATTTTGTATTCCTTAATCTTTCATTCTCACAAATTAGGTCTGGGTATCCTAGGTTTTCAGCTAACTGTTGAACATATTCCATCACTACAAATCTTTCTTCCCACCCCCACCAGTCAAAGAAGAAAAACAAAACAAACCAGAAGGAAATGTGATTTAAAGGAGTTTAAAGGGTAGAGGGATTTCTCCAGGTCAGTGGCAGGACATTCACCTCCAACGCTGGCAAGGCTAGTTCAAAAGCAAGCAATGACTTACCTCATAATGAATTAATTGTGTGCCTGAACTGTGCTCCAAAAGGCCAGGTGGGCAGACCTTCATGCACTGATGGGCAGCCTTTCTGTGGCCCAGAAACAAAAAAGCAGCCCTGATGGCTAACATGTGTTTTCTTCTGCATCACATTCACAGAGCTCTGTAGTGTGATCCACTTTGGATCGGTAAGAAGGCAGCAGAAGTTAGGCAGACTATCAACAAATTACATCCTAGCTGTTACCACCTAGAGAAACTGGACACAGGCAAGTGTGCTGGCACTTAGAATTCCCTGTGTGATTTTTACAGTTACCCCCTAAGATTAATAATAGAATATGATTTCATAGCAACAGAAATTTTGAGATCAAAATTATTTACACTATTAGATGCTAAGACCCTCAGTTGTGTAATTCACCATTTACAAAATATTCCGCTTTCATCAAATAATGCAGGTGGGTTACATCTTAAAAGAGTATCTCAAGTTCACAGTCTGCCTGGGGTACAAAGTGAGCTGAGGCCAGCCTATGCAACATTGTGAAAACCTGTCTCAATAGGAAAAAGGAAAAAGAAAATGAGAGTTGAGTGTGTCTCTTAGTGGTGTAGTCCTTGCCTAGCACACAAAAGGCCCTAGACCAATCCCAGTCACCAATTTAAAAAATATGGCATGGGTGTGAATGTCTCTGTGTACCATGGCCTGTAAGTAGAAAATAATGTCACCTAATTCTTTCAGACCACACATAAATGAATGGGATTCTATTTGCATTCACTGCTGAGAAAATTGGAAAAGGGACACCTAAAGTTCTTGAGCCTATTTCTGTTTTCTATCATGTAAGTTGCAAATGCTACCTGATTTAGATGAGGCAGAGGCGGGAGTTGGATAAGAATGTGCTTGTGGTTGCAACTCAGGATGCACCAGAGGACAGTGGATGGCTAAGGATTCTGTTTGAAGGCTGGGCTTGGGCATTGCTACAAAACCAACTACTGATCAAGTTGCCAAACTTCTCTTAACCCTCAGATTCCCGATTGATTAAAAGGTGGCAGTACTGTTTCCTGCTGCTTTGTTGAAAGGAGTCACTGTTTGCAAGGCAGGTTGTACATTGTGAAATTTGAAAAAAGTTCATTTTTGTTGTTATCGTCAGCGTGGACTATTCATGGGGAAAACTCATTAAGTTGTTTGTCTTCAGGCCAGCAGCCCTCATATGAGAATGCGTCTCCATCTGCTCTGACCACTTCTGTTCCATTTCTTCTATTTTTTACATATTCTCAGTCCCAGAATGCAGACTGTTGGAGCTACTCACTTTACTCCTCTGTAAACTTGGTTGGGAACTAAAACCTCAAGCGTTTCTGTTTCCAACTCCCTTCAGAGATGTCTTTAGCCATCGAGCCACTTGGATTGTTAATTCTGTGGGCCTGTGGGTTCCAATACCCTTCCATGGCTGTCAGCACCATGACGCTAGATCCAGCCGATTGATTTGATAGCCAGCTTAGCAGTAGCCAAGTTCTAGTTTATTTCTAGTTTAACATTAGTGACTATGTCTGCTGTTATTTTTTTCTTTAGTTTCCAGCAGAACCAAATGATTTTTTTAAAAATACTTCTAATAATAAGGCTAACTGTTCTAAGATCACCGGAAATTGCTTTTGTGATGCTCCAGCCTCACATGATTCATCTGCCTGTTGTTTTGCAACAGTTGCCGTGACATTTGCTGTGCCGTTTTATTTACGTGGGTACCTCAGAGCGATGGTTCATATGGCAGCAATTAAAACTTGTCCCCCACTTGGAAAAGAAGTTATGACACAATAATCACATGAGCCAATATTGCAAGGCAAGGTCTTTAATAAAATAGAAATACAAAGTTAGAGAGCAAGTTTGCAGGACTCTCAGCACCTCAGCAGCACTTGCTCTTTTTCCAAAGGACCCAAGTTCAATTCCCGGAATCCTTGTTGGGTGGCACACAACCGCTCATAACCCCAGCTCTGGGGAATCTGATGCCTTATTCTGGTCCCCTGGGTACCCATACCAATATGTGCATATGCACACACATACTCATAAATAAAATTAAAATTCCAACTTCTAGTTTTCACCAGTGGAGTGCCACTGCATATACCAACCACATTCCAAGGCAGGCCTTGTGCCCAGGAAATGTTGGCCAATACAACATAGACTCCATGTTTTCTTTGTAGGCTCTTTGTTGATTTTGTTTTGGTATTTCTTGTCTTGGTTTGTTTGTTTGCTTTTATTTTCATTTGCTTTTACTTTTGGGTACTTTTTTGAGAGGGGAAAGAGAGAGAGAGAGAGAGAGAGAGAGAGAGAGAGAGAGAGAGAGAGAGAGAGAGAGAAAATTTAATAAAAATATGGTTATTTTTACCCTCAAAATTTTTATCTCACATTTTACAGTAATATGATCTTCAATGTAAAGTGAAATATTAAAACTTGGAGAGTTTTACTTTTTAAAAATAATTCTTTTTTATCATGTGGAACTTTATATCTCATTTTTCTGAATTAAGCTTAAGAAAAGAAATACGATCTTGAAAAATACTGTTAAAGCCATTGGCAAATATTAGGTCATTGGGGATTTTTTAAAATGTGGCTGTCTTGTTTTTAAATAGTCTACCACTTTATGTCAAAGTCAATTGGCGTAAGTATGTCTTCCTATAGGCCATTCTGCTGGACACGGATGCTACCTGAGATGGTAATTAGAGCTTCTCTGTCTTGGGCTGTAGGACCTGTGTTCTGGGGAAGGTAGGTGCCTGTCCTCACCCACAGCCCACACATGGCAGAGCTCAGATATGAAATGCTCACGATAAACATTTTTTTTAACTAGTCCACATCTCTTACCTAAGGTCTATATTTCTTTTTCTGATTCTCTGACCTATTATAGTTTTGAATATCCAGTAAACTAAGCCTCCTTTGTTCACTTTTTGTAAGATTATCAGAAGTAGGCAGATATTACATATTTGTTTCTAAGTCCGAGGTATTAGTAAGAAGGGCATTTATTTTCTGCCCCCCCCCGTCACCCTCCTTCCTTCCCTCCCTCCTCCCCTCCCTCCTTTTCTTCTCTCCCTTCTATGTTTCCCTCAGGACAGTGATGTTTCTGTGGTTTTCTCTGTGTTTTTTCTTACAGAGTCTGAACTTATATTTTGTGTGTTGTGAATTTTAGAGACTATAGTGGCACAGTGTTATTCACCTCATTTCGTTTCTTACTCTATCACTGACTGTGTGTTTTTAGATCCAGTCATAGCTTATGAATGCTTTTAATCACTATAGAAGTCCATGGTGCCCGCTGCTCCATTTTATCTACCCAGCCCTACGCCTCAGCAAGATATGCTACAGAGAGCAGATGCAGCCATCCTGACAGATTTGGGAGAGATGTTCTTGAAGTTCCCCTTTCCAGGAGAGGAGTCCCCAGGTCCACAATGTGTGCTATAGTTATGATTTATATTTCTGAATTGTTGGCCAAAGTACGGTACCTGTCATTACATCCCATTTAGTTCCTCCATCCACAGCACCAATCATGAGCATTTTCTCACGTTTCTCGGCCCTGTTGTGGGAAAGACTGGATTCCATTTCTTTAAATCAATAGTTTCTTAATGTCAATGGCTAAATAAATATCTCCTTTGAGGGTCATTTACTTTTTGTTCTATGTGTACTTTATTTATCCATAAGACCTTCTTCCAATTAACATGAAAGTGAGAAGACAAGTGAAATGCAGCTTTGAAAGATCTTACTAAAATGTGACTATCCACCCCCCCCCCCGCACCGCCTCCCCTCTGCTCCAGGCTCATCCTATAATATGGTCCTAGAGAATTACCAGTTACCAATGACAGCCTGCATTTACATTAACGTCTTCCTTGGTGCCATTCAAATGTTCTAACCTTAATGTAGTGACAATGATTCTAACAGGCCTTGATGTTTGCTCTCCTTTCCTTAGCAACTGACTAGCGTGTGAGGAGCAGAGGTGCACCTAACGCCACTGCTCAGCACTGATGAGCTACCATCAGTGCTTCGTAAAGGCTGCGTGGTAGCCGTGCATGTAATGCTTCTAGTTCATTTGCCTACCGTGCAAGTGTCCAGTTGTGGAAATGTTTTATGTAAAGCCATCTTTCCAGTGTTCTAAGCTGTGACATGTTGACATCTCAGCAATATAGCACCAAGGATGGGCTTCCTAAAACTATCTTCTAGAAAACTTCCGTGTTTTCCTGTGAATCTGTGTGTATTTGTCACAGCTGAGGTGGGAGCATGCTAGCCTTTGAGAGCACAGGTCAGTGCTGAGGTGGGAGCACCACAGCCTGTGAGAGCACCACAGCCTGTGAGAGCACCACAGCCTGTGAGAGCACAGGTCAGTGAGGTGGGGAGCACCACAGCCTGTGAGAGCACAGGCCAGGATCACTCATTGTCTAGGCAAATGGCTCTGCACCATCTGTCCAGATTTTATTAAGACACATTGACCCATAACAGAGAGACCCTTCCTCTCAAAACCCTAGTTGAGGGAAGCTGTGCTCAAAAAAGACAAACAGTTGTCTGGTTCTAGGATGCATGATCTGACCTAGAAACCTCCATAAACCCTGTGTGTAATGCCCTATTTGCAGTTGAGAGAGACAAGCAGTGCCCACGCCACATATGATGCTCCTGTCTGTGAGAAGGACCAACTGTACCCATGAACATGGGGATAGAGAATAGTCCTTGAATTCCAGAGAACCTGAGGCAGTGTCTGCCATGGTTTGGCTCCTTCCATTTGTAAGATGGCCAGGGCTGTCTTCTTAAGAAGTTCTTTCCTTGGCTTCTCTTCATATGCCTTAGGGATTTTCTCAAATGTAATGCCAGTCTTTCTTGTTTCTCTTGCCTCCATGGGGGGCAGGTGGCAGCCACAGATTTGGATGGTCTTAGAGCTGTCCCTGCTCCCAGGGTGACCACACCTCTGCACTTACTGGCTCAGTCTCCTTTCCTGAACGATGAGGGAGTCTGGGGGTGTCAGTGAAGAAGATGCTAATCTCCGGGGCTTGGTACTTGATAGATACTGAAAATGAATACACCACCATGAGAGATGGAGTCACACAGTCTTTATATTAAATTTCTGGAGCCTGCAATCCCAGTGAAGAAGTATCAACAAATCCTTCGACATTAGCGAAAGCCAGTGTGAGGTGCCTGCCAGCTGCTTCCATCAGCATCTCTGAAAAGAAATCAGTTTTCATCCAAGTGTGTTGTCTTTGTGTTTGGGTTAGGAGGGTATACAGAAGTCATCCCAGTTAGAGAGAGAACTTCATCTCTGAGTCCTGTGGATTCACCTCTCACAGTTACTGTCATGCTGCTACTATAGGAAACAGTTACAGCTTTGAATGGTAGTTCTTAATTAAAGTTCCTATTTCTCCACATTTTTTCTCTTCTATGAATATAGATAAGAGGGCTATTCCTTTGTTTTAAAAGAGTATTAGCTGACAGGAAGCTAAGAAAACATTTTTACTTCTTTGTATCTTTTGTGGGCCATGCATATATTATATACTAAAACTGATTTCAAAGTCCATTTTATAAACAAAATAGTCACTTGCTATTTTACTTTCAGCAAAAATGCAACTATTATCAAAAGCTCCTAAAATAAAATTCTAATCTCATACATTATAATATAAAAATCTTTCCCAATAATCTTCATGCTTTAGGGATTTAGGCATCTTTAATTTCACCATATAAACTCAATGGAGCATTAATAGTTCAACATAACACACAATTTTCATGCATGAATAACTGACATGTTCTTTTAAGAAGAAACACAGCCTGAATTAGAGATCCAGGCTGCACTGGGAAAACCCTGTGCTAAGCTTCTCTTGTATTATGTTAAGGCTGAGACTCATCTCCAAACAGTTGTATGATTGAGATAACGTTCTGGAATAACATCCTGTGTTGTCCTGGTGCATCACACTTCAGTGACATTCTGAGGTTGCATTGTATTAGCACATGATATTTTCCCTTGTTAATTGATATCCCAGGTTCGTCCTGGGGAAAATCTACAGCTCCCCCAAACATGCTTGACAAGTTATTATATTTACTTTAGTCAAAGCCCGTGTGTGCAATATCCCTCTTGGAGGTGGTCTATTATTGGAGTCCCATATGCTTTTTGTTTGGGAAGAAAGCAGTCACTGTGTCATACTGTTACATGGAGTATTCTTTTTCAGGATGTTGTACCCTTGGGAACCATATCAGGCCAGAGTTCCCCAGTCTAATAAGACCTTTGTAACTCTTATTGTATAAAAGTTCTGGGAGGGAAGCAAGAGTTAAACAGAAGATGTAAGTTTAGCAACCAGAGTAAGCCACATGTGGGAACACACATCTCCTAGTGCTGGATTAAAAATGTATTTGTTATAAAAAGTACTGGGATGCCAAAATGTTGAATTTATTTCAGTATAAATGCATATTATTGTCAAATAAAGATCCTGTAACATTTTTAAATTTAGTTTTGAAAATATATGATGTAAAATAGCACCACTCACAGTTTGTTGATAATTTTATATTAAAATGTGATTAATATAGAAGTATTTTGGTGTTGCTTAATCTCCTATGAATTTCCTCTCAGAAGGAATGGCATAAAACGATGGTCAAAGTATGACTATTTTATGAAGTTATTTTTCCTGTATGAGGAGGTTTATAAATATGCATTCATCACCAACTGTGATTCTTGTATTTTTCTGATATATGACAAACATATTAATTATATTCCAGAAAGCCAGATTTTCAAAGGAATTTTCACAATGAAAACAGAAATTCTTTCACCATATTTTATAACTGATAAAAAAATCATTTAAATTTTATACTGTATTGCGTAAGCATTATATAGAAACTAGCAGTAAGTGCTAGAGTCTTTCTTCACTATGGTAATGTAGAAACTGCTTTTTGAAATTTGAACATTTACCAAGAAAACTGATGAATTTCTAAGATTTTAAGAATTTCCTTTTCTCTTTTTTTTTTTTTCAACAGCAACTGGTTCCACAGCAGCGCATTCTAATTCACGAAGATTCCATGAACCTGCTAAGTCTCTACACCTCCCCCTCCCTGCCTAATATCACTCTGGGACTTCCCGCAGTGCCGTCCCCACTCAGTGTGAGTCCTGGTGGCCTCAGCCTAAACCAGCCCAAATGACACTTTATACATGAACTCACTTTTATGTCTTGTGTATTTGGACATGAGAACCCTGCATCCCCTGCATGGTTTGCTATTTGCTCTTTGATTAAAGGCACTCAGTTTAGTTTCAAATCACAGAATTGGTTCACAGGTTCATTTACAAATATCTCACTTGGGTGATGATTTCTAATGTAGAAATATTTAATGTCTTCACGTGCATAGTTTTGTGGTTCCAGCATCCCTCCTGTGAAGGGGAGATTATGGTCCACATTTACAGATGAGGAAGCTGAGGCTGGGGAGTTTAAAAGCTCAAGGTCACAGACCCAGTGAGTGAGTGACAAATGCAAGTATCCCCAGGCCAGAGCTGAGTGGTCTGCCTGTGAATCACACCAGCACATGTTTGTAGAATCGATTCTGGGAGTGACTTTATTTGGGGAAGTCACTGATTCTGCGGTGAAGGATACATATCTGGAAACGATCCCTAAGAACAACATTTTGCTATTCTCAGGAGACTTCAAGAGAATTACTTAGTTTAAAAATCTTGACAACTGAAATTGATCTTCAGGAGGAGTTACTATCCCAGTATAACAGAGGATAAAAATAATAATTTTATACATAGTCTCTAAAATAATATACATTTTACTTGTTACAAAATGTTTATCAGCTTCACACGGGGTAATTCACTGCAGATGTTAGTAAATCAAACTGTACATACCTAGAACTCAGATGCTAGATGCTGAAGGTAAAAGCAGTTCTAACCCTTGGCTCCGTGTGAGCACTCATGAGGACAAGTCTTCTCCTTCGTTCAGTATGACAGAGTCACATGTATCTTTGAGATAAACATTTGTATTAGATCTAAAATTTTATTCCATTTGGAGTATTAATAGAATACAATATCATCCATAACCATATACGATTTGTGAATGGAAGAGAGATTTAGGATGTGATCTCTATAATCTAAGGGTTACAGAGGAAAGCATGAAAATCTTGAATCAGATACACTCTTGAAATTCCAAAGATCTGTAAACAATTGCTTCTAAAGGTATGTAAAATGGAAGTAGAAATGAGACATGAGAAACTAAATCACCACTTACTAAACTTGTTTTTATTCCTCTGTCATTTATTTTAATGTTATATAAATACCAACCCACACACTTTCATGAGATACCAACAGACACTTTGATGTCACCATTTCTGTGCCCTTAGCCACTGCCTCTTGCTAGCTCACACATGCACCACCACCACCACCACCACCACCCCTTTTTTTTTTTTGAGACAGGGTTTCTCTGTGTAGTTTTGGTGCCAGCTCTGCAGACCAGGCTGGCCTGGAACTCACAGAGATCTGCCTGGCTCTGCCTCCCTACTGCTGGGATTAAAGGCATGCGCCACCACTGCCTGGCCCATGTACCACCACTTTTAATGTGGTCAAAGAAACATTTTCCCAAAGGACCCGTACTAAAGGCTGACTGTTTTATGTTTCAATGGCAATACCGTTTGGTGCCATTGGATGAATAAACTAGTGTGGTTTGAATTAGTTTAATTTTTCTTTGTTTCTATTTTGGTGTGGATGAAGCCTTCACAATGAATTTCTCAATCATAGTCTTTCCCCCGCAGAAGGAGCTCTAATATGCCCTTCCCCCACTGCATAGTGGAAGACTTTAAGGAAAGATGCTGGGCTGGGCATCATTTATATATTAAACATGGATTGACCTGCTCTGTGACTCAGACAAACCGTTTACCTCTTCGTCCTTCAATTTCTCCATCACTGAAAATTGTTTTGCCTCCCTGGTGCACAGCAATTTTGAAAGATGAAACATAAGTTTTGAAAAGAAACATGCCACATAATTTTGAGGTATTAGACTTCTGCTTTTGTAATACCAAAATGACCACCATTCATTAAATTTTTTGAATAGGATAATTCATTATTGCTCTTGATGATGTAATTATTATGGCTTCATTACTGTGTTACCATGCCTTTCAAGTTCTTAATAACACTTTTATTTGATATCTGATTTCATATGTAGTTTACTTTATTACACAAAAGTATCTGGGTTGTCATTTTTAATATTCAGAGATGTAGGGATCTGTTATGAATTAATAGAAAATATATATTTAAATCAAATTCTTGTGTATTTGTACCAGCTTTCACAGAGTGAGAGAATTTCATTTTAAACTTAAATGTTTGAAACTTATAGCTTCATGAAAAAGAAGAGCTATTGTAAGAACATATATTTTTTTTTCTTGAAATTCTAGAATTATATAGACTGCCTTATCTTCACCCACATGATAGCCTCTATTTGAATCAATTTAACTTTCCAACATACCTTTTACTTAGTCAGTGCACTTTAAAGTATTTAGAAGACAGCTTCCACTTATGAAGCTTGAAATTCATTTCAACTTTTTATTAAGCTAATGTATAAAAATTGCATGTATTTATGTTTTGTAACATGGTGTTTTGATCTGTATAATGTAATGAGATAAGCTAATTAACATAAGCATTTTCTTCCATACTTTTCTTTGGAGAGAACACTTAGATACTCGCTAAGAAATTGTGAAGTATATTTTGTTATTTATATAACCATTATCACCAGGATATACAACAAAAAGCATCGAATATTGTTTTCCCTGTGTAGCTGAAAGTTTGTGTTTACTCTCATTTTTAATTTGTAACACAAATTTCCGTTAGGCTCAGTACTGAATACCCAGTTGCTAAACTGTTTCCAGTGCCTCAGTTGTCTATGTTGTTAATTCTTTTAGTGTAAAGGGTACAATATAATGCATTTTCCTCACCATACACACTGGGCATAGGAAAGTCCCCTGCTGACTAGAGTCCCGGTGTGGCACAGGAATAAGGAGGATTAACATTTCGATTCTTTCTTGGCCCAGGCTTCCAATTCACTCAAAGAAAAGCAGAAGTCTGAGACACAGATGCTTAGGCAAGGCGTTCCTCTGCCTGGCCAGTATGGCAGTGGCCTTGCAGCGTCCTCCAGCCACGCTCACGCAGCCATGGAAGGGAAGCACGGCAGCAGCCACCAAGCGCTCCTGCAGCACCTGCTGCTGAAGGAACAGATGAGGCAGCAAAAGCTCCTTGTGGCTGGTAATTAATGATGACATCGTTTTCGGGTCCTGTTAGGACTATGTGGCAGTTCTCTAACTCAAAACTGCAAGGATGGTTCCTGTTGTTGTACACGTGCCAAACACTTGGCACTGTGGGAGGAGCTATGATCATTACGTGTTCCCGATCTGTAGGGTGGAGCGGGGAGGGAACCTTTGGGTATAGCAAACTGCATTGCTGGTCGATGCTTCTGCTGCACAGACATAAGCCTGGCCAAGGCTTTGCACTCAGGCCTTCCAGCATCCAGCCTACCCTTCTTCAGTTGTCTGGCAGATGCTTCTTTTCGTCTCTTAAAATTGTCTATCAGTGCATCTTGGTTTACATGTAAATGTGTAAACACACTCACTCTCACACACACATTTTGTTTTTCAGGTGGAGTTCCCTTGCACCCTCAGTCTCCTTTGGCGACAAAAGAAAGAATTTCACCAGGTGTTAGAGGTACCCACAAATTACCCCGTCACCGACCCCTGAACCGAACCCAGTCCGCACCGTTGCCTCAGAGCACGCTGGCTCAGCTGGTCATTCAGCAGCAACACCAGCAGTTCCTGGAGAAGCAGAAACAATACCAGCAGCAGATCCACATGAACAAAGTAAGGCATGAAGCAAAGTTGAATATTAAAAGCACTGGTTTCCAAGTCAGGGTTCTCTTTGCTGGGAATGAGGGGATGTTGGGATTGCAAAAAAATGCAAAGATTGCCATTCTTGCCTAAACATCTGGGTTGAAGGTCGGGATCACAGTATCACTATTTTCACCATTTTTATGTTCACAGGACAGTCGAAGTAATATTGAGATCATGGCTTAACAATAAGTTTTATGATTAAACAGGCTTTTGTTTTAATTCACAGGTACATAAGTCCTGTTGTATGAAGCCTCACTTGTGATGCAGGGTAAATGTGTGGGTTGACAAGTTCTAAAGGCTGCTCAGGTGCTGGCAGACAGGACAGTGTAAGCCAGCATGGTATTTCTTAGCAACATGTTTCCATCTCGGTCGTGTTTATTTTTCAGTATGCCCACTTCATTCCAAAAACCATTTGAAACAGTTTCACTGAAACTTCTGGTAATTTCTTCCCAGTACCTTGATTTGGGCTGAAACAGTGATGGTCTGTACCGCTCAACCAACTACAAAAAAACAAAAACAAAAAAAACCAGTGGGTTGCAGTATGATCGTATCTGACAGCACAGGATCGAATGTTCTGTGAATTTGTAGGGTCTGATCCCAATCTCTCTATTGTTCTCTGTGACATACATGCATGTCCTAAAGGTGTTATTGTCTGCTGTAAATAGATGTACAGCTCAGCTTAGGAAATGCTTTGTTGTGATGTAAAACACAAGCACAACAAAGTGAGTTTTGTTGTGGGTGTCTATGGCGTCATTGTCCTTTATGTCCTCCTCATGGTGGGAAAAGTGGGATCTTCCTTTCATGCTGGCCCTCCTGCAAGCTACCCTGAAAATAGTCTCTTCTTCTTGCTCCTCCAACCCCCCCCCTCTCCCCACACCCCCGCTCAAGGACAGAGTCATGAAAGGAGCTTGCACTGAAGAGTCCTGAGCAGCACTGAGCAATACTAAAAATGAACTGGTCCAGCCTAGCCCTGGCTTTTTGAAGACAGTGTCCTGTGAGTGGGTTGGGATACTGAGGTGGAATTGAGCTCTTCACAGCCCTGTTTTACTAGAGCCTGTAGGCCAATGGTTCTCAACCTGTGGGTTGCAACCCCTTAAGGGGCTGAAGGACCCTTTCACAGGGCTCTTCTAAGACAATTGAAAAACACAGATATTTACAATACAATACCTCGCAGTTGCAGAATTACAGTTATGAAGTAGCAATGAAATAATTTTATGCTTGGGGGGTCACCAAAACATGAGGAACTGTATTAAAGGGCCACAGCATAAGGAAGGCTGTGAGCCACTGTATAGACTTTTTCTGAGTCATTCGATTGCTATAGCATTTTTCTAAGTTTGTTAACTTCATTTTTATCAGATCGGTTTCTTCAGGAAGTAATGAACTCCCTTCTCTGCCTGTTGCATTGTTCATTAGCTTGATTGCACAGGTTTACTCCTTAGTGGTAGAGTGAGGTTCATTTGTTTTGTGGCATTCCAGAACAGCTTACAATGACTACATATTCTTTTTTAAAATATGCCCATTGCAAGAAATTTATGTGGGCTGAAAGAGTGGGAATCCTGTGTTTGGGCCTCATAACCTTTGACTTGAAGTTAGGTTTGCTTATAAAACTTATAAGCAAACTTTATAAAATTGGACCATGCTAATACTTTGCTGGCATTCATTTTCACATTTATCAAAGTACCTGGATATATATTTTGCTGTTGATAAATTGAGTAAGTATGCCCCTTTGAAATCACATCTTTTTTTATGAATTCCTTTAGAACATTTTAGAATTTACTTTCTGACCCAGAATTGCCAATGTTTCAGATGGGATGCTAATGGCACTTTTTTCTCTTTTGTATCACACTAGAGATTTGACAGGCGGATGCTAAGCTCAGTCTCAGAATCAAACTAAGATGAAAAGCAGGCATTTGTATTCAGGCAACAGGCAAAGCGAATCTTATCAGCAGCCTTTCCTATGTGGGGCTGATTCCTTGGAATCTGTTAAGAATTCTCCCCCAAATTAGAAACAAACCTTTACTCTGAGGTAGACGTTTATACAGTGGTTTGATTATTAAATCCTGTCTTAATTGGGTAAAATGAAGGCCAGAGAACTTCAAAGTGCATGCTGACCCCTGTGTGTTAGCTCCTCTCAGCTTGGGCGTTTGGATTGTTCGAGCAGTTCTCCAGTTGGCTCTTCTCCAAATATATATTCCATATGTTTAGTCAAGTGGCATATGCACACTGGATGTTCTCTAGATTGTGAAAATATTTTAGCTGTCCTCAATTGTCTAAGGAAATGGAGAAGAATCATATTAAAAAAATATTGGACCTGTATTGTATTTTGAGGTGTTTCCAATAGAGCCATAAAGAAGTGAGTTACTACCACTGTTCACCCTTCTGCCAAGGTGATGAGGATATATATTTACTTTTTACGGGGTTAGTGCCGTGACTCAGATGCCAAGAGTTACTAAATTTCTGTATAATAATATATGTATGTGTGTCCTGTCCATTTCCTCAGAATAATTATTAGTAAGAAATAAGTGCAGAAACTTTTGTCATTTTTTATTATCATGGATGAACCTTGATGTAATCCATTCCAACTGGAGCAATAGCTGGCATCATAAAATCATGGTCCTCACTCATGAGTAGTCATAACAAGAAAGAAGCATATGTGAAAACGTAGGTGTGCAAATGGCATGCTTAAAAATATATTTTCCTCTAAGTCTCTTAGCATTTTATAGTGCTTTTTTCACCTTGAGGACTTAGAGAAAAATATGAAATAAGAACATAGTTAAAAATAAGGGCATCAGAACTGTCAAATGATCCATTTAAATGTGTGTGCCATCACATCTGATGGCCTGAGTTTGATCCTAGGACCCACATGGTAGAAGCAGAGAACAGACTCTTACAAGTTGTTCTGTGGCTTCCATGTGCGTCCTATGGCATGTGCATATCCACACCCATACAAACAAACATAAATACAAACTAAATTAAATATATAAATAAGTTTATTCAGTATTTTAAAAATAAGGCTATTTCTAAGCTAGTATCTGGTTACATAGTTGGCCTTCAATGATATATTTGAATTGCATTAGGAAGTTTAGAAGAAAACCTCTACTTTATGTTTTTGGTACAATGTTTTTCACTGAATATTGAAGAACTTAAGAAATATATAATACACGTGTTATTAATCCCACTCTGACAATTTAACTACTTGTTGTTTCAATTTCAATGCCATTCACATGGGGTGTTTGTTCCTTCCAGGATTATTTGCCTCTTATAGCTATGATTTAAATGCTCACAAGGTGAGCAGAAATACAACATTTTTATTGTAGTGTCTGACAGCAAATAATGAGGGTATCTTGAAAGAAAGGATAGATCTAGGTCAGAAAGGAAACTCATTCACAATGATTTACCACTCTGTTCATGAGTTTGAATACTCTATTTCCACAGAAGGTGTTTTGAGATGCTTAATCGTGCAGAAATCATATCTTATAACATTTATTTGTTTTTGACATTTTTCAAAAACAAAATTGTGCATTTTTATTGCCAGTATATTGTATGTTGATACTATGATGCCTTACATTTTGGTGAACCTTAGAAAAACAAAACAAACAAACAAACAAAACCAGTTCCTTTATTCTAAAACCAAAACAAGGCAGTTGCTTTCGCCAGTGTGTTTTGTTTCCCTATTGGAAAGCAAAAAGAGTTCTCAAAATGAAAATTTCACAGAAATATAGAAGACAATGCTCCCACCCCAAAGAAGAGTAGTAGGACATGGGAAATTTTTTTTTCTGAGGCAATTTTGAGTTTAAATATTGACAGTTTTACCCCCAGGAAAATAAACTATGATTGAGTTAAAAGAAAACACATAACATCACTTGCCCATATTGATGATTTTTTTAAACATAGTTTAATAAAAGCGCACATTTACAGTCCTGTCCCTGTGGGGTGTTGTTTTCCAGAGTGTCCTTTAGGCATTTGAGTTGAGTACTTTAACACAGATAACTCACAGCCCCTGTCCTCCTATTCTCTGGTAGCTTTAATAAAGTAACATTGACTCATGCCCAAGAGTTTCAGCTATAACTGCAATTTTCATACATTCCCTAATATTTACTTTTTAAACATTCATCCCACGAAATGGACTTGGTCTGAAGTTTTAATACGTATTTGACACACATGACCATATACCTGTACTCACTTGGCAGGTCACTATTGACCTTGGGTAGACACTTCTAATAATCTGTACCCTGTGCTCAGGGAAGGAAGGAGAAGATGAGCTCACACACTGATGCGGTGTGTTCAGCGTCAGGACAGAAGGTGAGAGGACAGAAATTGAACTTCTTTGAGGAAATAATATTTGAGGTTTGTTTACTTACCTCTTGATTATTTTGTGTTTATAATCTTCCTTTTTATTTTTTTTTTTGTTTTTTTCTTTTTCTTTCTTACTGGCTCTGTATTAACTATCTTACCCATTCCTATGCCTGGATATCAGCCAACACATTTTTTAAAAAACATATATAATTCAAGAGGTGATATCTCATGTATGTCAAGGTTCAGTCTAGATATAAGTATTTATTATTTATTACCATGATATTTAGGCATTTTGACATGAGTGCTATTTTATCATAATTAAAATGTGTCTAATACAAGACCAGTAAGTTTAAGGCCAAACAGATGTTCTGTGTTGCCTTATTAAGACAGGGAAATGTTCTATTCTGACATGCAGGGCAAAATACAGTTCTGCTCAACTCTAAACCTGAGCAAATAGAGGGTTTTTTTAACATTCTGGAAGAGACTGTAGCCCTCAATTCAAGTAGTATATGTTTCATTAATTCCTTTTAATTAATTGTATGAATCAATGTTACATATCCTCCATACTCCCTAATGATTTATAACCATTCCCTGTCCCCAGTCAATACTCAGAAACCTAAGAGTATATCTTTCATGTCAGTAGTCACATACAAACATAGCACATGTGTGTATTC